TGCCTGCCTCCCCTCCTCAGAGGACCTGCCCACTCCCTCCTCTCAGCCCTAGACAAGCTCGTGTCTCTGTTGCTCGAGCTATCCTGTGTAGGTCAACCACTCCAAGACCCCCCTTCCCCGTGCTGCGCACTCCGGGCATGGTGGTTAAGCTCCGCGCAGCTATGGCTAAACCCTAACACTGTGCCGCTCGCGTCACGGGAGCAGAGCGCTACGGTGCCGGCTTCCCGCTTCGTCCGAATCACCACATTTATTTTTCCTCACAGTGGCACTGTAGATTTTAGCCTTGGGTTAGTTCAACTTTTGGTTTGTTAAAACAGGTCCCGACTGAGCGGCCGTTTAAGGGCTCAATGTCTGCATGAGAGTACGAGTTTGTGAAAGGACAGGAAGGCAGTTTGTTTAGGATTACAGATTGTTTTTTCTGCGTGTTTTTTGGGCACGGTAGGGGGAGCGGAAGGGTTAATACCTGATTGGGCTGGACTGACAGTCGATCCTTCCGCACGGGAAGCAATCAATGGGGCTATCAGCCCTGTTCCCGGCACGTGCTGCTCCCCACGAATAGATCGGAGCCCATTATTCAAAAAAAAAAAAAAAAAGGGTTCCCGGGGCCATAACGTGGGGAAGCGTGGGTCAGAAGACTCACAACTGGATTTTTATTTATTTATTTATTTATTTTTCCATTTATAAAGCCCACGGTGCTGTAGAGGCCAATGACCCGACACATGCTGATTGCTGGCAGCAGGCAGCCAATGGTTGTCCAGAACTGGATTCTATTTAGACTTGCCGGTGGGAAAGGAACCGCACTGCTGCTCCCCATAGTAGAAGGAGATTCTCTTCTTAAGCCACCAGTACCTGGCCCAGCTATTGGCCGTGAAAAAAATAGAATAGCAAGTAGTCGAAACGTTTCTAGTTGGATGAATTTGGGCGGTCCTCTAGTGGCCCGTACGTTTCCTACAATTGTGTCTTGTTAACGGGCACAACTTCAGGAAATACTGGTTGTTACGAAAAAATAAAAAAAAATAAAAATCCTATGTTGTCATTGTTGTACAATTTAAAACATAAACTGAACAACTCTTGCCTCAGGGGGCAGAACCAACTAGTGAAGTGTAACCAAGTGTTACCACTGGTCCCCACAAAAGTAAAAGAGAGTGAGCCAAGCTATTAGCAGCTGTAGAAACTGCTGCAGTTAAAAAATTACAACCTTCCAAACGCGGCCACCGTGTTTTCGTTCATTTGTGGTTGTCGGTGACACTTCTTGATCGTCGATTCTGTGGGAAAATACCAATGCATGTAATTAAATTCATTATGCAAGGAAACATCCGCAACAACGGAAATAAACGAGCTCTATAGGCATCCTCATGTTCCAGTACACAGACAGGAAGCAGGTCTGCAACAGCAGGAAGAAGCACTGGCTCTGGCGCCAGAGCAAGTTTCTCTCCCATTCCCACCCGTCCTCCTCGTGTCTCCCAATCTGGAAATTGGATGTTTGCCACCACCGGATAGTCTTCCATTTCCCACACAATTTCGGGATCACGTTGTCATTTTTGTTACTTTTGTTAATGTCCTTGCAGTCAATCTGAGGGGGGGGGAGGGGGGGGGAGGGTAGAGGGGTTGTTTTTGCAACTTCGCTAGTGTTTTTTTTTCCTTAAAAAATTTGGGACAATGAATGAAAGGAGATGCTCAGCTCTCTTTGTGTATTTCTTTTCGTGGATGCCGACAGCAAGACTGCCCATGCTTAAACCACCAGTACTTCCTCGAGTCATGCCACTAACGCGCCACGGTTTTAGGAAATGTACGGGCTACTACAGGAGCGCCCAAATTCATCTGACTAGAAACATTTCTACTCTTTTTTTTCGGCGGCCGATAGCTGGGCCAAGTCCTTTTCATTTTAAAGACATTTCCTCATATATTTTTAAGTCAAAAAATATTTTTCTTTGCATTGAAAAACACGAACACCGTGTCACACTACATAAATATTATTGTTTTCTTCTTTTTCTTTTTCGGACCGGCTGGGCAAGTGGGTCGACGCCACTGTGGTAGCTTGGCGAAAAGCCTACTGTGAAAACAAAGTTTCATTGTGAAACAGTTCAGCTCACAAATGACTCACGGTGTACAAACCAATCAATATAGAAGATCATGCAAGATATTGATATAAACTTGAAAGGATGACATGAGCATTGAGCATTAATATCATGGCGCTATCACCTTCATCACCGCACTTCCCTCCGCTCACACCGCCGAGGAAAACACAATCCTTCCACTCATACAAACCCATGTGTGCCAACCGCCACTATGGGCTTTACAGGTAATTATCACCTGACCTGTTTTTGCGGCCGATTATTTTGACTTTTCATCAGCAAATTTCGACAGTCTTGCTCCTGGATGCTATAATGCCCGCAGCAATAGCTGTCTCTTTTGTTTTGTTTGTTTGTTTCTTTGAACAGGAGATATATCAATAGCTGAAAACCAGACCACAGCTGTCCCAACTTGTGATTTTTTTTTTATTTTTTTTTTTTTCAAACATCCTCTGCTGTGACCTCCCGGCAGACAGGGATAAGAGCCCATGTCCAACGGTGGGTCCGCTCATATGGTGGAGTCAAATTAATTCAATCATATTCGTGGGGAGCGGCACATGCTGGGAACAGGGCCCAGCATCCCTGTTACAATTGTGGTACCTGTATCTCAATCCATACGTAGGGCCTCCCGGATACTGTTTTTTTTTTTCTTTTTTCTTTTTTTTTCTTTTTTTTCTTTTTTCTTCTACTGTTTCTAATACATTCTATCGGCTAATCTGATTTTGTGACTTTCATGAGTGCCATTGGGCTGGGGATGGAAATTTGGGTGGAAAAAAGAGTTTGTGGGAAAAACTCCCAGTGCGCTGCGAGATGGAAATTTGTTTCACACAATGAGGCCCCAAACTATTTTGTACAATCCGCTGTGAATTTTTTTTTGGCCATAAAAGGAGAAGGAAGTGGGGCCGCCTCAACACGAGGAGACATTCTTTGGGTTGGACCCCACAGGACCGCAGAACGGAAAAACTTTGCCGCAAAACTGTTTCCAGGACCCCACAGCCTGCAGCAGACGTCCAGGAAAAGGTGAAATTTCTCCCGCAAACCGCTTTTCGGGACCCCCACAGACCGATGATTGCGGCATGGAAAAACATAGTTTTGTGTTTTCACATAGTCCGCAGCCTGGAAAAGTCTCACAGGTCCGCAGCCTGGAAAAGTCTCACAGGTCCGCAGCCTGGAAAAGTCTCACAGGAGGATTCCTCGCCGCAATTTTGTGCCGACTCAAGAGGGTAAGGGGGAGGGCATGTCGTTCCTGGAAAAGTCTCGAAACGTCTCTCGGGAGGCAGCAGCCAATAGCGACAAAAGCCTGGACCCCACTGGCCAGCAGCCTGGAAAAGTTTGGGCGCTGTAGTGTTTTCCAGACCCCACAGGTGTTGGAAACCGGTGTGGAAAGTCGGCCCGGAAAGGAACTCCAGACCCCACCCTGCTTGGAAGCAGGTCGCGGAAATGTTGACGGGGCGTTTCTACTCGGTCGGTGGTCTGGAAATCCAACACCGACCGCTTTCCATTCCCTTTCCAAGGAGGCATCCAGACGAGCAGGGGGGGGGGCATATCCATCCATTTCCAGACAACGGGTGGACGGCGTGGACCACGCACCCTCGTCGTGGACCGTTTGTTGGACCGGGAGGCCGCCACGGACATGCTCTTGTTTTTTGCCGTCACACGGTTCTCCCAAGGGCCCGAGGGTCTGGGCCATCCATGGTCCCCTCGCTTTACGAACGGCATGGTGCATCATTCAAAATTCGAATTTTTGGCGGGGTGAGGACGAAGGCCAGCCATGCAATCGTGACATTCATTTCCTAGACGTGCATGGGGTGCATGAGCAGTGATTCCGATAGCTGGCTGTCGCTGACACCTCCATTAAACCCTCCTGCCCTGCGGGGTCCGTGCATGATGCCATCACTTATCTCCTTCGCGCGTGCAGGGCACGAGGCCTGTCTACAGGGAAGCCGTTTCGGGTGGCCTCGTCAGGCGGTCTCTGGCCGGGGCTTGCATTCGGAAGCTGTGGGTTGTGTGGCGGGCAGCGTCTGCGGAATGCGCGGACGAGAACCTGCACCCTCGGTGTGCACCCGCACGCACATGTACCGACCGATGTTGTGCTCCCGTGTTGTGGCCGTGATGCATTCCGTGCTTCGTCGTCTACCTCCCTTGCCATCCTCACTTCGCCGTCTACCTCGCCAGGGCGCGCGTTTGTCCTCGCCACAGAGCAACCCCAGCACATGTCGGCAGGGATGGCCTGCACATGAGGGTGTGGTTATAACTCCTCATCCACACACTCACCACGTGTCAATCGTCGAACGCTATCGTCGCCCGTGTGGATGTGACCGGTGTCATCAACCCCGTTGTGTGGATGTTGTCATCAACAACCACTGTTGCGGAGACGGGCAACGAAAAAACCCATCTTGGGCTGTTTTCGTAGGCCTGCTTGCAGTCGTCATCATCTTGTCGACAACTTTCTTCTTCTCCGTTGTTTTTTGGTGCGTGCTCATGTACTTCTGCTGTCGTGGGTGGAGACAGCACCGGAGGGTCGGATCCGAGGAAGCAGTACGTGGTGTTCAGTGTTGCCTTTGTTGTTGGCTCTTCGCTGCGAAATGGAGTCATATTGGTCGAGGACATATCTCTGTGCAGGCATTGATGGGGGACTCCAGTCCCAGGACATGGATACGCAAGGATTTGTCCATTCTCGCCTTCACCGGCGACGGCGCAGCCCTTCGGTAGGCAGCTGCACGAGGGTGTGCGGGTCAGGCCGATTCATGTCTCACCTGCTCCTGTGCCCTCTCCATCAATCCATCATGCGGCAGGTGCACGTCGGCGGTTCACTGTTCGGCCATCTGCACATACTCTGCCCGCCGGCCCCGTGCACACGGGCCAAACCTCATATTGCACACAGGTTGGAGGCGAGTATGGCATGCCCGGTCCACGTTCCCAGTCGGCGGTGGGTTTGGCATTGTCGCACACATGTACCCCACTCAGCACACTATGGAAAGGGGCGGAGTAATAGGGGATGATTGGCAGTGGTCCCCGCAGTGCGGACAGACGTCGCAGCCGCTGCATGGCGGAATGTCCGCTTTGTCGCCCATGTCAGTCAGGCGGTCTGTTGCCGATCCTTCGCCTTCAACGGTGGATGTGGGAGGAGAGGATATGGATGAGGGGTGGCCAGCGTACAATGCTACTTCGGCGCCTGGCGGGTTGCAAGGCCATTCTTTTGCTAGCGACGAATATGAGTATGTTGACGACGACGACAAAGGTGAAGGTGATGGCGGTAACACTTATGCGCAGAACTCCGACAACGTGCCGAACTCCGACAATGTGCAGGACGACAAGGACAGTGTTCAGCAGACATATGGAGAGGACGACAGGGACAGTGTTCAACAGACATATGGAGGGCAGGGTGGTCGGGGCCCAAAGCAGCAGGCGTGGAAACAGGCGGGGGGGCAAATCTAGTGATGCAAAAAACAAAAAACAGAACATCCCGTGGAGCTTGGAGGAGAGGATCACACTGACGAGATTGATGGGCGAGGATGACGCCCTGCTGGTCGATGCCGAGGGCCAGCATCGGTTCATGAAGAGGAAGCCTTAGGAGCAGTATGAGTGGGTGCACGATCGAATGGCGGATCACGGGTTTCCACACAGGTCAGCGGAGGATTGTTGTAAGAAGTGGCAGGGCATGATGGCTGCGGCGAAGTTGATTCCCGACAAGTGTGAGAATGCTTGGGGCAAACCTTCATACTGGGACATGACTATAGAGCAGCAGAAGACAGAGCAAGAGTGCCACTGGCCTTTGAGAAACCGTTGTGGGATGCAATGGGGTGGCAACTCAACACGCTGGTGTCGGAGAACCTGTCGGGTAATGTGGGAGGGGCATCGGCGAACACCGGTCCAGCGCAGGGCGGGTCGGGGAAAACTGGTTCCGACGGTAGAGCAACGAAAGATTCCGAGGGTGCAATGAAGACGTGGAGGACGAATACCGGCAAAGCGAGTATGGACGACACGACCAGCTGTGGGACAGCATTGGGGAGGGCGATGGAGGACGCGACAAGGTCGTACAGCAGAGGCCTGGATAAGGCCGCCAACAATCTGGCAAAGGCAACGATCGCACCGAAGATTGCTGACGTGGCAGATACCATGCATGGGGGGAACACCGCCCTCGAGATGCTTGTGGGGGTTCTTGCGAGGCGGGGGGGTGGGGCACATGGGGGAACATCGGTACACATGGGAGGGGGTCACAGACCCGTCGTCACGTTAGCACTCGAGGATAACAGGTCATAAAAAAAAAAAAAAGAGCACTAAAACAAATTCAATCGTTCTTATATATATATATATACACACAGGCCGGCTTTCGTTTCCCATCCCGACATCCACACCCGATGTCCCGTCCCTTGTTCCGACACCATGAACCCATGTGTCCCTATATATATATATATATATATATATATATGTGACGGTATATATATATATATATATATTTGCCACAGCCCCTCGTTTGTTATCCTCTTTTCCCTCTCTACCTACAGTTTACCGGGCAGCTCTGTTTGACTATATATATATATATATATATATATATATGCGGGACAGCCCGGTTCATGGTGCTGAAACAAGGGACGGGACTCACCGCGTGGACGGCGGGACGGGAAACAGTAGCCGGCCTTTGTGTATATATACATGGCAAGGAGCCTGGATTCAACATCAACACTGATGTTGGTGGGCGCTCCTTCAGTCGACGAGGTTGGTTGCACGCCGCTTCCCGTAGTGGTGGGAGGAAAGGTGTGCATGCGAAGGCAGTGCTAGAGAGAGAGAGAGAGAGAGAGAGAGAGAGAGAGAGAGAGAGAGAGAGAGAGAGAGAGAGAGAGAGAGAGAGAGAGAGACAGACAGAGATTGAGAAAGAGAGCGAGATGTCGGACGTATCCACGGTGATGAGGGAGGTGGTTCACGGGAAAGAGGTTGTCGTGCAGGGGACACGGTTGGAACGAGGAACGGAGTGCCATCGGAACATGGATTGGGGCCCCACTGTCATCAAAGACCACACGCACATTTACTATGCGCTTGTCAATGGCCTCCTCACGATGAGGATCGTGGCCGGGCGGGGGTACGACCGGGATGGCAGCCTTGTGGAGGTCGTGTTGTTCGTGAAGAAGTTGTCCAATGTTGTCCCGGACACGTGGCTGGGGCCGGGCCCCAATGTTGTCGGGGACATCGTCCGCTACGTTGTCTCCGCCATCGCCAAAGAGCACGTGGCAACGAATAGCAGCAACGCGTGCTATGTGGCGCACTTGGAGCCTCCACTTCGGGAGAGAGGCTACGTGCATGGGGCGGTCCTGATAAAGGACCAGATTTGGTGCTCGGAGGACGACCTCAAGGCTGCGCGTAACAGGTGGTAGACCGCCCCATGGGGAGATGGTGACGTGCACTACGAAAGGACGTACAATATGGAGGACGTGCGGAGCTTCGCAATGATGACCAGAATTTGTTTCTTCCACCGATTTGGCGGGCAGAGTAGTCGTGCCTTGTTGGCTGGTTCACCATTTGCTAGGCTGGGTAAGGGGTTGGCCCGCGATGAGGATGTGGCCTGTTTTTGCCGTGAGGAGGGTTGGATGCAGCATGAACGCAGTGTCGTAGATCAATAACATGTGTGCTTCGCAGCACTTAATCGTCTCCATTTTGAAATGGGTTTTTGTCTACTGTGTACTCCGGTAGGCGTGGCTTTCTTTTTGTCTTTCTCTTTTTTCTCTCTCTCTCTCTCTCTCTCTCTCTCTCTCTCTCTCTCTCTCTCTCTCTCTCTCTCTCTCTCTATGTGAATGTAGAATGTATTGGGTATGGAGTGTAATACTTCAGGTTCATTTGTGTTATTACATATAATGCCATATATATATATATATATATATATATATATATATATATCGTCACAAATAGAACTGCCCGGTATATATATATATATCGTCACAAACAGAACTGCCCGGTAAACCGTAGGCAGAAAGAGAAAAGCGGACAACAAACGAGGGGCTGTGACAAACTGTTTCGTCGGAGTTTCACTGACTCATCAGGAGGCTGAACCCTCAACAGTCTGCAGAATCCCCTCACCGATTACACTGTAAATGATAATCTACCTTAACCAAAATCAAAGTAGACTATCACTC